ACACAAAGCTTGTTTCATTGTATTCAATGCATAACGTAGAATTTATTTTACAGCATTCAAAACAGGTGCGTGGACTGAGCAACATGTTACAGCAAGATACCTGCTTTGTCCGGCGCGGCAAAATATATACAGAATGGCATGCGAGAATCAACACGATAAATGAGTCAAATTGATTAGATTCTCATACAATTTACACAGGTATCGTTAGCGGCAAGCGACCGCCTTTCCGCTCAATAGTCTGGAACGGGAGTTTCTAGGAACAGTCTCAAAAAGAAGTGCGTCAACTTAGAGGCATGAGGCGCAGTGAAGGATAGAATCCCGGTTATGATGAAAACTTTTACTTTTGAAAAGTCCACTTTTTTATTGGGAAAAATATGCATAATACGTCTTTTTTGGATGTTTATCTACGTGCAGAATAGCGTGTGCTACAATTTTACCAAGTAAAGTTATCTTTTTCGAAGGGATTGTGAGCAATGCCTGAATCGAACTTCAATCTTCCGAGTTTCATTATCCTGCCCTTGAAATTACTTCATTCTTGGCTGCTAAGCGATGTGTTGAGCAATTCGCTTAGCAAATTAGGCAATTTTTAGTGAGCCTGTTGTATACACTACTGTCGAAACTCAACAGCAACTAATAAGGTGAAATGACTGTTGCTACCCACGAGAAAATGTTGAAATTTCCAAAGGAAGTAAAGAGTCTCTATTTGCCATAAGACTCAAGAACCAAGAACGATAGTACTTTGAGGAATTTAAGGGTAGAGTCCAATCGCCAGGTTTCTAATTGAGGCTAGAGGGGAGACGGAAAATTTCCTTTTTTTTTTGTTACTGGCTATAAATTGTAATTTAATTCATTTTACAGTTTATCGCACAAATCCTCGTGTTTTAAGACTACATTATGTTTAACGTCAGACATTAGGAAAGATCGGATTCAATCTTACCAGAAAATGGTTCTTTTTTTTGGCACTCTCGTGTTGCGCTGAGGAAAAAATTTATGAAATTAGGTAAGCAACCTACGGTGTAAACCGATTAAAACCTTCATCGTGACAATGAAAGTTTACTCGTAGTCCGGATCAAATTGTTTTGGTTGAGATTGAATCGTTTAATTTCATCACACGTCAAAAGTTTTCTTTATGGCGAAAAAAATTTCCCGTGGCACAGTGCATGCAGCAGTGAGTCGTTTTAAGTGGAAATTAAAGAAAATTAACCAAGGTTTCTGATTTGCGCGACCACTGCGCGGCGCCTTGCCGTAGTGAATGATGTGTTCGCGTACAAGGTGCATGCTTGAAACAATTTAAACGGCGGTTGCACAATTATTGTAATTATGATACTTACCCGTTGAAATTTCCTCATTTTCTTTGCAATTACGCCCGGTAATCTGTTGCGAACAGCGAAGCCGAGAAGCGGCTCATTTTGAGGTTATGATCACTGCCGCTGGACCTGACCAGCGGTCACATTGCGATACCAACACGCGATGGATCGATCTACAGGATCTACACATATTTTCAGAGCACATTTTGCCTGTTTGAACAACTTCAGCTCCACTTTACTCGGATCAAATTCATCAGCGGGCCGATGACTGAAATTGATAGACACGGCGATAGACAAACAAGGCATAGGGTGTATGGAGCAATCCTATTGATTGAAATGCGGGGCTCTTATAAACTAAGGAGGAAAATGATTGCTTAACTATAGGATCTCTCTTGACTGGTAGTTAGTCTATTACCTACCTTCTTTGTCTATGGCAACCATCCACTTCCTCCGACAGGATACCTTCGTATCCCTTTTGTCTTCTTTGTCTATAGCTTTGTCTATCAATTTTAATACTCGGCCCGCAGAACGGAACCAAGTCGCATCAAGATCGGAAAAGAGGTTTGAAGTTATTACATTCATCCATGACACTTCACTTGAGGTTTCAAAGAAAAATCAACGTCTATTTTCATGTTCAAAATATTTTTTCTCGACTTCGAACTTTTAAGAGGAGGGCTAGTAAAATTCAAAACTGCCCCCAACTTAATTTTTTTAAAATTTGACTTTAATTCGTCTCACTATTTACTTCAATCTAGGTATATAAGCTTCGTCCTTGCGTTTGATTTTTTCCGGACAAGTCCTGACGATGACCAAGGCCGAGAAGCTCCGACAACGTCAAATAAATACATTCAAAGGAAATTCATCCTCAGTTTTTAATCCATAGCATTGGATACCCCCACGACACAATTAAACACACCTTAATTTTTTAATATTTTCAGACGTACATATTGCATGATTTCTGAAGTGTGGTTTTGAATGATGGAATTCATTTCATTATAGTTCAGTGACCGAAACGCTTCAACTTCATTTGGTAATAAATAGGGTAATCGTAAGTCATTTTACTTTTTTTTCGACAGCAATGTATACAATTTTCTGCAAGAATTGGAATTAGTAGGCTAATTACAATACACTTTACTAGAGGAAGTTCCACCCCTTTAACTAGCTGATAAAGACGCACTTTTCTTGGATGTAGCCTCAACAGGAAAATTATAGGGATTTTTATGGACTTTAGAAAATCAACTCCTGCGCGATTTTGACTGACAAAATCAATGATCTCTCCAACTTTTTTCACTCTCATTTTCCTTCACTTTTCACTGACTTGTCTTAAATCCATCAGTATTTTTAATTTACATATTGACCCTTTTCTACCCTCGTCATTTCAATAGCATACTCAACCGTTTAAAATAAAGGGCAAAATGTCCCTCAGAATTCAGAAGTTACAAATCTGCTTTTACGAGTTTAAAGTATAGGTTCCCAGGGTGAATCGAGGCAACTTCGATGTATCGAATCGCGGATGCAAAGAACGAGGCTGGCCGGCGCTCCATTCCGCCGTTGCCGAAGTGGGAGGAATTTCATACATTTTTCAAGGTAAGCCAATGTAAAGGATGTCAATTTCTCCGCTAGGTCTGGCATGGCTTCTAAGTGGCTCGGCGAGATGAGATGAAGATGAAGATGAAGTTGCGGCCAGTTTGTCTGCATTCTTTCGCGACTCATCTTTTAATTTCCTCATTATTTGGCCGTTCATTCATTACGGCTGCGGCCGCAACCCCGAGTTGGCTCGCTCATATCCCCCCCTGCCCCCCTCTCCCTGCGGGTAAGCCTCGATTAGAGGCCTTCAGCTCTTGTGTCTCTTAGGGATCTATTTTTACCGCACGGTCAACACTGTTGCACACCTTAGAGTATACCATCACAAGGAGAGTATGCACACACCGAAAAGTATGGCATGCTCCTATTGCCCAGATTCTCGGTTCTGGCTGAGAAAGTTTAGCACAGAGTATCGAGCTTTAAGTAGTTTTATCTCATTTTGGCAGTTGGAACTAAAATCAGGTATCTTAGTAAAACTAAAGAGTTTATTATTGAGGGGATGCACTGATTTGAAAGCTTACTTTGTGTCCTCCAGAAAGCAAAGTTCAAAATTTTGTTGTAAAAGTTGCATTGATGTGTCAAGACAGTATTAATAGTGACACAAGCGTTTCACGGCGGTAAAAAGCTCTAAATTTTTTTTTTTTTTTTTTTTTTTTTTTTTTTTTTTTTTTTTTTTAATTTTAGCATTTTACGTGTACTCTGGGAGGGGACAAAAAAAGATACCCCATGCGTGGGAACAATAATACCAAACAGCTAAAGGTTCCTCTCTGACAGGGTTGTTGGTGTGAGCTACCAATATTTTATGAGTGTAAGAACGGTTGTTAGACTTGTCTAATGATATTATTCAATTTGATGTAACCCTTCATATAACATAAAAAGTTTATTGTTACTTTTTTTTCAACGTGGCAAGAATATTCTATGCCTGGAGACAGGTTATGTTTGTCCGCGGCGGAGCCGGAGAAAAACACAGGTAAAATAAACGGCGTGAGAGTGAAAGTGGTGCGCGGAGTCGGAACAAGTTCGATAAGCTACGCAGAACGCAGCAAATCCCTGTAATGTCTTTACTTCCTGCAGAAAGGAATTCCTCTGACACTCCGACAGCCGGTGTTACCAAGGCGACTCAAAACTGTCGGTTCCACTGTCCTCCTGCATCGTTGCTAAACTGTGACTAAACTTTGGAGCCGCGATGGAGTAGTTTTCATTTTCTTAAGTTTGAAGTAAAGTTTTGGAGGCGCCCTCTATAAATATCGGGTTGGTTTGCCGTAACATTACACTGGGGAAAAAAACTCCAGCCGTGGAAGCCGTACTCACGGGCTATGTAGACATACCGTCTGCGTTCCGGGCTCAGAGGCCGAAAGTTCCGAGTGTAGCACCCGGATTAGTCGAGGCTACGACTCCAGCACCCGGAACCTTCGACCTCCGAGCCCGGAAATGATGGCATGTCTATATAGCCCGTAATTTTTTTCTCATTGTAAAGACATTTTATGAGCAAGACTAGTCCATGTATTCAAGGAGTGTACATTCGTCGTTTTTCGCACGAAAGGATGTAACTCCATTCCAAGGTTGCTTAATTGATCGGGAAAAATTCAATTCCTTACAAGAGTACACCGACGCAGTGCGCAGTTTCGATCCAAAATTTTGCTTATTTTTGCATGAGATCTGAAGAAAATTAGTAAAATTTTCGATTAGAAATGCCCAAGGTTCCCCTGATAAAAATGGAATTGGCAAGGGGAAATTTGGCAACATTGAAATGTGTTTACGTTCTTTTGTAAGGAAAACCACGAATTGCGCAGAGCACAGTTTTGTGCAGAGGAAAAACGTCGTATAAGAATTCGTATGTTACCACATTTTCCCCGATCAAACATAAATCTTTGAAAAAGGTTTCAAATATTTATCCTTGAATGTTCAAAAACACTGGGTGACATTATGAGCGAAATGCAAAAGAAAATTTCATAAATTTCCCAGAAAGCTCTAAATTATAATAGAAGAAATTTTGCGACGTTCCAAAGTTCATGTGGTGCTTTCGCTCGCACGGCAGCGTTAAGATGTGTAAAACATCTAAAAATTTTGAGTTCGATCAGGAAGTTTTGGAAGTCTGTGGAAACCATCAGATATTCGAACCTATATATTTCTTGGATGAAATTCACTTGTTTTAACAAAATTGGACGAAAAAGAGTGGTTAAAAGTAATATCATCATAGATATAATAAGTAGGCAGTTCTTATATGACGTTTTTTGATACGATTTTCCTAAAAACCTGGGCCTATAATGTGTCACAGTGTTATTATTCAGCATGTGTCCCGCAAATCAAGGTATTTTGTGAGGTCATCCTGGTATATCAAGAAGCTTGCTCCGTTAATTTTTTCGTGTGATTGCGTGCAAAAATTACACATTCGCCATTGATGATGATTCAGTGCTCTTCTATATGGTTCTCATCAATTTGTGTGAAAAAAAAGTTGACTGCTACAGGATCACCAAGATTGTATTTACTGCTGAATTTTATTGCACTAAAGTTGGACCGGAGCTTATCGATTTCCCTGGAAAAGAGACGATTCAGACTGTAATGAAATGTACTCAGACAATTTTTTGAATATAGAAGTGAATTTTAAGAAATGTAGCCATAGGTCTAATATTATTATAGGACAGCGTATTTGTCCGTGCACTTGTTTCATCCCAGGGGCTACATAAAACATTGAAATGATTATTGAAATAAAACATTGGAATGAGTATTGAAATAAAAACTTGGCTCACAGGCTAAGTGAAATGGCACAAATGGTGTAATTACTGTCACTTTAGTTGAAGATCATCAGCATGTTCGAGAGATTTATTTTTGTATTTGCTCTTTTTTTCGTGACATAACCTATCTCTGAATATTAATTCTGAGAGAAACTGTAGCATACCTACACCACGAACTGTGTAAGGCAAAAATGAATCGCTAAAACTTTTAAGTGGATCTTTTTGGCTAAATTTTGCAAAATTATGCTAATTTACGTGATGATATATAAATTTCAGTGACATACTTGAGATGGATCAGCGCGCGGAAACATATTATAATGAGCCACTGGATAGGGCACGAAATTAAGGGCCCATAATAATAGGTGATTCCCGAGTAAAATTTTCCGGCGTCAATTTATAATTCAGTGAAAAACGGACTCGCCCGCGTTGGCACACACATACCGCTCATAGAAAAATCGAGGTAAACTCGAGCCAAATCGAACGCTGATGTAATTTTGATATATTTTGTGCTGAATGGATTTTCTTGTGCTAACTTTTTAGTTTGGTAACTAACTTTTTCGAGTTTTAGGGTAGACAGTAATTACAGGTATTTAATAACGTTGTTATACTAATACGTTTTAAATTTCGTGATTTTGAAGAAGAAGGTGGGGGTGAAAATACTTGCTGGGGAGAAGCTTAGGGTGAAAATTGGTGACTAAAAACGTTGAGTTTACCTTCTCTTTAACGAGCTTTCATCATAAACGATGGGTTTCTCTCCTTCTTGTTTAAACAAAAGGAAGACCACACGATGTAAACCTAGGCATAGAGTTCATAAATGGTAGAGACACACTATAAAACTAAAATAATATAATATCCCCAGTTTTTCTTTTTTAATGGCTTCTCCTCATCTGACTTTCTTAGTAAAGGAGCGAAACAGCAGAATGCTCACTTATTCCAACGCACCAGAGAAGTGTCGTTTTCAAAGAGCAATTCCACACTGGACCTGGGAAATGTATTTTGTAGTGGGTAAAAAACCGACAAAGCTAAGTTTGACGGGGAACTTTATGATTATACATTTTTAGAGGAAAAAAATTGATCATAAAGTTTTGAGTCATTATTTTTCACAGTTGAATTTTTTATGTGTATAATTGTATATCTTTATTAAGATGCATAGTTCCAGTTAGATCAAATTACTTTTATATTACACACGTCATTAAAGAATTATTTTTTGTTGAACGGTGAAAAATTTTAAGAGATATTTGTTTTAAAATTACTATGAAACTTCGATTTTCTATTGAACTTTCAGTTTGTAAAACACATCCTTCAAAATATAACGAAATATTGACTAAAAATTAAAGTAAAAAAAAATAAAAACTAACAAAACGTTCGGATCATTTTGTGGCATTTGTTTTCTTGAGACCGAGTTTAGGTATTTCTTCACACTTATTTTTATTTTTATTAATTTATGTATTCATTTATTTCAGTAAGAATTTTAGACATTTTTATATGCCTATAACCTCAAATAAACTGACCCACCTATCTCGTAAGGGGCATCCATCCATTCATACTTTACTAAACATTCAGCTGAAAGAAACCGGTCTTCAGGTATATTGGCCAGTGTCATGTGCCGGTAAGATCTGTGGCTTGGTTTTTCTCTGGTCGGAACATCAAGCCCTAAAATAAAAAATCAAACGAATTTCTTAAGCCTGCGGCGTAATCATATTATGATTTTTATTGAAACTGTGAAGAAGAAATGTAAGCTCAATATAAAGTCTGGAGGTAAATTAGTATTTGGATTTTCATGAATTCACTATATCAATCGTTCAATATAAACGTCTGATTTTGGCTATTATGGACACAATGGATCCTCCAGAGCAATATTCCACCATGCACAATGTTCATTATTTTATTTTATTTTATTTTTTTCCTCGAAATTTGAGGTGGGATAACAGAATAAGTCCAACAATACGTCATTGTAGAAAGAAAAATGAAAAAGTCACGTGACTGTTTTAAAAGTAGTCATGAGGAGAAGGTTTGCTATATTGTTGGATTGTCTCCCTTTGACTGATTTTAAAATACAAATGCGAATAAAAACTACACCGCAGGTTTGTCTCACATGTTTCCCAAATACAGCAAACATCTTTTGTAAATAGCTTTGATCCTTATATATGCATGTAAGATAGATCTATATTGCTAGACTTACCGACTACAAGTAAAGCATAATGTCCAAGTTTGTCGTAGTGCGTGTAGTTGATACCATCTGGTGGTATAATTGCTAAATAATCTGGAACTCTAGTGCCCAGTTGGAGATGATGCACCTCATAGTTCACCTTACACCACAAAAAGCCAAATAATATTTATTATCTTTGTTAGCCCTTCTCATTACTTTGTCACTATTTGTGTATGTGTGTGTAGATTTGAGCTTATGATAAAATGAAAGAGGAGAATGAAAGGAGTATAGTCCACATTTTATGCGATGTTTTGACCCTTTGTGATAGCATTTCCCAAATCGTCATCGAGGAGCTTGGAGGACAATGCGCATAAGTGCAGCTTTTGAAAAAAAATTGAGCCATTAATGATTGCAAGTAAAACTATGGTCTCAATGCATATTTTGTGAAAGAATCGCTCTCAAATTCCAACCCATAAGTATCAAAAAGTCAGTTTGAACATTCTTTCCGCCATAAGGATCCATGTGATTCCGAAATTTCAAACACGTATACCTCGAAATAGCAAAATCATGCACTTATGCGCCTTGTCCTCCAAGCCCCTCCATTTACGTCTCTTCTTAAATGCCAGCCATGACCTCCAGTGTCCATCTATCGATTTTTTCCACACGGAAAAATTAAATTTCGTAAATATATAGACTTTTAAATTCGCAAAAGGATTGGTAGATCATAAATGTTCAAAATTATACTTGTAGAATTTACCTGAAGCATGTGTTTTGGATAATTAACGTAGCCTAGATCCTTGTAAATTTCATGTTTGATCAAAGCATCTTTAATTGCTTCTGCGGAAAGCTCTGGAGGAGGTGTCCCATAATTCAAAAAATCATAACAAGAGACCCCAAGGAATTGAATCACCCACTGAGTGATGCACGGAAATAAACCATAAGATTGTATCAGGTGCATTTTCTTGCATTGAGGCTTCCAAGGGCGGTTCTGTGGAGCGTAATAATGAAGCGTTGATAAATAAATTGAGTTAATACAATTGATGCAACCAGTCACTGATTATTGTCCTTCAATATTAGCCTTCATAAATAATATGGATGGTAAACTAGAACCATCTCGAAAGAGTGGAAGAATCAGCTTTCACCCTTGCGGGAGATGATATCACTATGAAAAATTGAAAATGATCATACGTTAAGAGAATGTTATTTATATGATTTCATTTTTCACTTTGAATTTTAGTCAATGATCAAAAACGGGTATTCTATTAAGACTGTCAATCGTATGTAGTCTAAAGCTATACATCAGCTGAAAAACCACCTTAAATTAGAAGAAAGAGACTCTACATCCCTCGTGTCTCTCTTTAAATCTAAAAACTCACGAGACTTTTTCGATATTTTTTCCTTTTTTTTCTTAAAATCTTAGAGGTACAATGTCTGAAAGGCTGTTTATACTTTTAGCTATCGGATATTACACTATTTTTCTGTGGTTTAAAACACATTTTTCCTGAAGCGTGCAATGATTCATAAGGATGAAATGTACAGAGACCTATAAATATGAAATCAGCGCATCCGAAGTCTCTTGAAAAACTAGCATAGCTACAAACAGTCTAGTGAATTTTCGTGTAATTTCGCTGGACTTTTTGTAGCTGTGCTGGTTCTCACTGAGAAAAGTCAATTGCTGCACAAAATCAAGGCTTTTGGATGGACTTACATATCGACGGTGAAACTACCAAACCACGTATCTCGGTTTGCGACGTCGCAGACTTCCTGTCATACTTTATTTTTTAAATGAAAAGCCACTTAACATCCAGTCTTGAAAATTTCTGTGATTATTCCTCTTTGTGCGGAGATAATTCCGTGAAAATTTCAAGAAATGATATTGATTTGGTCTACTTAAAAAAAATAAAATGGAAGCGTAGATTTTTAAACACCGCAAACGAGATACGTGGTTTGGTAGTTTCACCGTCGATATAGAAACTTCGAGCTCACTTAAAATTAACATACTTTTAATTTTTCTTTTTCTCTCTGTGTGTATTTGCAATTTATTAAACTGTATGAAAAAGTAATACTTTCACTGAACTACATGTGTCACGTTTGCCGTTAATGCAATGTCCATGTTGACACATCGAAGCCTGATTTCTGCCGACACAATTATAAACATGTGAAAATGAAAACTAATCTTTTTGAATTGAAATCTTGTTTCTAAATATTTCACCAGAAAAAAGTTTCGGCCGGTGGTTAACTTATTTTTCGTATAAACCCGGTTTAAATTTCAACATAAAACTGAAGAAATAAGAAAAAATCTGTATAAATTCAGGAGTTTCTTTTCTTTATCGGAATTTGACAACCGTGTTATCAGTCTACAACCATTTTTATGTTCATACAGTGAGGCAAGTGTTATTGTCCGCTATCATGCGTTACATCAAAATGAAGTTCAGAATGAATGGAATCAAGACTAATTAGAATAATGCATCTAAGAACATTTTCTTCTTTTAGACGGGAGAATTCACGACCTTGTCACATAGAGCAGCCTAGAGTGATAAGTAAGGCAAGGGTTTATAGGTAAGGTATACCCCTCTGCCAGGGTAAGTTAAACGAGGGTATGATCTGCCTCTATATTCAAGCACTCGAAATCGATAAAACGCGCGTGGGAGTATTTAACTCATGAGCCCTGTCCACAACGCTCTTTTCACATGTCCACGGCTCATGAGGACCGCATACAGTTGCCACTTGGTTCCGTTTGGTGGAATGTAAAATCGCGCTTTTCCATTTCTCCAAAGGGAATCACGCCCTTTTTCACATTGTTTCTTGTGCACATTTCTAGAGAACACCTCATCTTCCCCACTCGTCTATAGTTCTGTTTATCAGAAATACGTATCCATTTGTAGTATTCGAGCCAAATTCTCAGTTTTCTCTCCTCCACGTTGGCACGTCTATAGTCCATTTGATATCAATATGTCAAAATAATTAAACAAAATTGTAATTTGAACTTGTAGTTACTACGGTTACGAAGATTCCACACACTCGTTAAGGATTTTATACTTTCCATAAAAAAGAAGTTATTTAAAAAAACTAGAAAAAATATGTATGTCAGTGTTACTAGTTTAGCCTATACATTTTGTCAGTACCGCGAGGAAGTAAAAGAGCTAATATGAAGGCCATATTAAAAGTGAAAAAAGTACCTAACGTCTGTTTTATTATTAAACGCCATCACAGTATATGAAGACCATTATACTATTTTTTATAATAAATACACTTTAACTAGAAAAAAGAGCCAGAGAACGCCCACCTCTCCAATGTCATTATTCAATTCCGCAACAGTACAAATTCACTAACAGTTCATTTTTTTGGTACGTTTCAATACCGTCGAAAATATTTATTTAACAATTACGGTTCGAAGCCCATCCAATGGAGCGCCCTAGTCGTGTGATCCTCCTTAACGTCTGCAATGAAGAAATTTACTGCCACGGGGTCACCAAGATGATACTTCAGGCTAAATTGTGTGGTATTAAAGTAGGTTCTTGGCACCTCAATATTACTGAAAACAAAACGAAAATCATAAAGTTCATTTTAAAATTAGAAAAGTTTCAAAACTTATTATTTATACGGAATTTCTGACTCATAAAACCAGTAACAAAGCTCTTGTAGGACTATCACGCGAAATATTTTTATTTTGTATAGAAATGAGCTTGTATACGTAATGTAATTTTAAATCTGCGAATTTTTGAAAAGTAGATGACAAGTAGAGAGAGTTTAATTCATATAGGAATTTCCACGGATATTGAGCCAAAAAAACCAATTCAAAGTTGCGTATTTTGAATTCCCATGCAGGGCCGGATTTTCCTACTTGCCGCCCATGGGCCGCCTGTATTTTGCCGCCCCCTTCTCATTCGTTTTGAAGCATCAATAAAAACCATCGAGTGAACATGCCAGCGGGGGAGGGGTGCATAAGACGCGTTTACTCGTGTTGAACACATTTTTTGGGAAAGCCCTGTCAACACTACTAGCAAAAGGTCACGGAACTTTGCGCGAAAGTCAAGTTCCGTAAACCTATCTCTAATGGACAAGGCCTTCTATTCATGAGAAATGAACGAAAAAATTATGAAAGAACAAACACAAAATTTGGTTTAATGATTTTAACTTCCCGCGCTGCGCCGCGCGCCGACCGCACCGTGTTTGGCGCAATGCGTGAAGTATTCACGCAGTCTTGTAGGCGCTATGCGTTTCACGCTGACCGCACTGTGTTTGGCGTAATGCGTGAAGTGTTCATGCATTGCATTCTTGTAGGCGCTATCCGTTTCACGCTGACCCCAAAGACCGCACTGTGTTTGATGCAATGCGTGAAGTATTCGTGCAGTCTTGTAGGCGCTAATATGTGTTACATGCCGATTGCCGCGCCGAGGGCTTCTCCTTTTCATCTCAAGTTCTCGTCATCATTTCTCCCTAAGTCGCGCCGTTCCAGGCCAACTTGTATGTTTGGTTTCTCTCTTAACTCGACTAATTAAAGGTGCTGTCTTTTGTATCACTAGCTGAAAGACGACAAAATTAGAAATTACTATACTCTCAGGAAATGAGAGATTTTGTAGCCTTATCTTGTTTGTAATTTTTTTTTCTAAAACCGATTTTTTTTATACCTACATTTAAAAAAGTTGCAAAATTTGCCGCCTCCTAGATTTGTCGCCATGAGCCGCGGCCCATGTGGCCACCCCCTTAATCCGGCCCTGTTCCCATGTGAACTCGCACTGTCGAGGAAATCGAGATGACGTCCTAAAATATCCCTCCCACTGCAGGTACGGTAAACTGTCGATTGCAAGCAACCCCTCCGCCGTGAAACTCTTTACTTTTCAAAAATCAACAATTACTGAGGAAGCTCATTTGTACTTAAATATAAAACTTTCACAGCTTCGTTAATGAATGAAGGATTAAACGATTTCGGAAAGATTCAAAAACATAGGTATTCATTATTTCTACATATAGTATGGAACCTGTTTTAGATTGAATTTCGTGGAGGAAGTATGCACTAATTTGTAATTCTTCTTCTATTTTTTTCTCCAATATTTGCATTTAAATTTCATTTTTAAACGATATCACAATTACTAAACTTCATTTGAATCTATAAAAATATGAGACTGCATTTTAATCGGACGGGCTGTATAGTACACAAAGTCTGTCTCTGTATGCTCTTTATACTTATGAACGTACGCAATACTCAATACACTAGACTAATTTTGTAATGAGCTAGATAAACTATGAGATTCATAATTTTGTAGCGGTATGGAAACATAGAGTAATGAGTCATTTTATAATATGATGTGTAATAATGATTTTGATTGAGCGAAAGCATTTTTGCAACACAAGCCACCAATTATCTACTTTTACAGCAAATTTACTCAAATTTTTTTGATGTCATTCATGAGAACTCTCAGTTGACTAGTGTGAATAAAGCGCATCGAGTCTTATACTCTTACCTCCTCATTAAGTGACGTTCATCATACACCATGCTTTCCTCTCCTTCCTGTTTGTATAAGAGGAAGACAACTCGATGTAAACCTAAAGGCACAGAGTTAATGTCTTATAAATATGCACTAACAAACAAAACATACTCACTTTCCCAAATTTTTCTATAGTTCCTTCCAGGCCTGCCACAAGAGGGGGGATACTGGGTCCCTGGTTCCGGGGCCCGGACCCTGGAGGGGCCCGGGCCACTTGTAAAGAACCACTACGAATTCTTATGTAACCCTTGTCTCGTGAGGAAAAGTGAAAAATTTACCCTAAAAATTTTGCAAAAGGTGAATCAATTTTCAAAAACACGCTGGGGCACTGTAGAATTTTTCTTACTTCTGTAAAGATTTATATCTGTTTTCAAGATTTTTAGTATAGATTGTTATTTTTAGTAACTGCGTTTCATTTTCTTCCGTCGTCGGATGCTAAGAGTCTCCAGTCTGGGCATTCTCGACTTCAATGGCTCAACTTCCTTGCCATAGACGTACGAAAGGGGAGTCCGGGGGGGTTTGGACCCCCCTAGTATTGAAAATAGTATCATCTGCCTTCCCCACCCCCGAAAAAAATTTCCAGATGTTTTGAATGCAACAATCCGAAAGTATTTTGTGCTAAAAGTAAAGAAACAAAATGCGTAATTATTCTGCAGAAAAGTGATGGAAAATCTCCGCCATGGGAGCCTCATAATGCGTCCAAGTAGATTTAAAATTTTAAAAATTTCCCGGACCCCCCTGTGCTGGGGGCCCGGGCCTTAAAACTGGTACCAGGGCCCGAGACGGGATGTGGCGGGCCTGGTTCCTTCTAATTAGGCTCTCTTTAAAGGAGAAAGACGACGCGATGTTTGCCTTTGCAAGAGGTCATAATCTCTTGTGAAGCATGGAATTATAAAATAGATAGAGAATAAAACTGTGCCGTCATCTAAAATAAAGTGGGATTTTTATCCTCCTAGTCAAAAATCAGTAGGATAATCCAAATTATTCAGGCGATTTTAATCTCATTGATGAAAGTCTTCCACCGAATTTCTTTTCCGAAATTTCTCCTTCTATTTCGTCCACGCAAGAATCAGTATGTTTCAATTATTTATGTCATGATTAAAGTCAAAAAAGCTTCAGCTTTTATCTATTCCAAGCAAGTTTTAACTTATTCTATTTTTAAGCTTTAGAGTCATTAAACCCTCAGTTTTCATTCATTTTTGGATCAAGAGTATTTGAGAGATGCTCTTTACTTTGGATTTTGTTTTAGCTAGAGATATCGTGTGCCTTAAACATAATTTTCTTTAATTGTTTGTTGTAAATTATAATGCAAGACAAAATATTGCGTGATTCTCTAAAGTTTTCATCAATTAAATTTTGGACTTGAGGTTTTACATAAACTTAAATATTTATTAAATGCCAAGTTTAAATTCTCAGTTATTGATCGGTAAAAAATGGTGATCTATAAACAAAACTTTTCAATGAGAGATCTCACCTTTTTTGTAGGGTGCAGCCTTCCAATCATAGTTCACCAAACACTCGGCTGACAGGAACTGATCTTCGGGTATGTTACCAAGCGCCCAATGTTGGTAAGCTTCTTTATCCGGTGTTTCCTTAGTCGCAGGTAAATCAAGCCCTGAAATATAGATAAAAGGCAAATTAAAATATGTTGTTCGAAAACAAGCCAATAGTTTTAAAGTCAACAGGTTTAGAGACAAGATGAGTATCAAATGTAAAATTAAAGGGCGGTGGGGAGTTGATGGTGTGCATAGTTCTTTCAGAACTAAATCATCTGTGCATAATTCCCTTGATAAAAATTGGCGATAAAAGCTGCGTTTCAAAATACTATAGGAATTCTTATAGCCGGCTAAAGAGGGCTACAGAAAATCATATGTATAGCTGGCTGTAGAATGCGGAGAAAAGCATACGGCCGCGCTATACGAAGCGATAAAAAAATATGCAGCCGGGCTACAGTTCCTATCGCCGGGCTTTACACTTTATCGCCTGGCTGTCTCTTTTTCGCCATCGATTATAAAAGGCTATAAGAAATTGTGTAGAAATTCGTGTGCTTGAAATCATTAAGTTTGACACGGAACCACCTTAATATTTACAAAACACACATTATATTTTCCTTTAGTACATATTTTTTTTCATCAATTAAAATGAGAATAATCCATACAGGATGTGCAAACATTTCAAAATCATGAGTTGAATAACGCTGACTCCGCCAGATTAAATATTAGAGCCTAACACAAAGCGGAGCGGCGACGCACTGGCGCCTACAAACCTAACAGGGATACTTCACGCATTGCGCAACGCGTGAGGTATCCCTGTTAGGTTTGTAGGCGCCAATGCGCGTTTCGCGCTGGCTGCCCGCCTGCCGCGGCGCTTGAAGCAACTATTTCACACCAGAGGTATTGCACAGTA